TAATAAGCAAATGAAATCATTTTCTAGACTACCTGGTGTTTTAGACAACATCTGTGGAAATAAAATGCACTCCAAATGGGCATGTTGGACACCTGTAACAAATATTGAACTGTGTAATAATCAAAGAGCAAGTACTTCATCAGGAGAGACATTTAATCAAGGTGAAAGATACAGTTTTGTTTGTATGTAATAGTTTAGGGGAATATTAATTTCCTCAAATGTCTAATCATTTTTCATTTCAACAAATTTTACATGTCAGGTTATTAATAAGAATTAATTTCTTCTAATTTTCCTACTAGCTATTATCAATAAAAAACTCACTAAACAAAAATCATCCTCTTCGATATCCAATAATTCTGAAGAAACAGAGAAGGTGAAATATAAGAAAGAAACAGTGGACCATAAAAAAATAAACAAATCAGAAGCAGAAGTTTGCAAAAGAAACAGTCAACAACGAAATCATCTTAAATATTCTGAGGATAAAAATACTGAAAATACCAAGCAGAATGATTGGCATATTGAATCTGAAACTACCTATAAATCAGTTCTCCTAAATAAGACAGTTGAAGAATCGCTGATATATAGAAAGAAATATGTATTGTCAGAAGATATGAATACTGCTATTTGTGATAAAAGCTTTTCTCCTAGAAAAAATGTAAAAAGTCATAGAAAATCAGGGAAAGAATTTACTTCTGAACTGAATTCTTGGGATATGAAACAAAAAAAAGTGGTGAGCTCTCAGTGTGTTTTGATTTTTGCCTAACACAAAGTGAAAGAAGTTTGATTGCAGCAAATTTAACATATGTAATTCCTTGTTCTTTAATTCAGTGCCTAGACTCTTGAGAGTGAGTTCCTCCTCCCACACCCTTCCTTAGTCCCAGCCCTGATAGAACAGTAGTAGGCACATAATCGTGTAAATATGTATAGAAAGAATGAACCTTGCAGTTCCTATCTATTCTATTTGGGTTCCTCCCACTCTGTTGTTTTTAACATGCATATAGAACTGTTTGTACCTCTCTAATTTTTGTCTTTTTTTATATATGGTTATTTTTATGTTTTTTTCCTCTGTGATTGTAACCTATTGCAGAGTAAGGACTATGTTTTATTCAGCACTTGTTTTCCTGCATGGCCTAGCACAGCTTTACATACAGTAGCATTTCAAACATTTCTTGGATGAATGCATTTAACCTTGATAAGGTTTGGTAAGAAAAGGGTATAAATAGCTTGGAAGAGACTATCTTGCTATAACTTGATCATCCTTATTGGACCCCCCCCCCTTCTTCTTCAGATTAATCATCTCTGTAGAACATCTCCATTTTTGGCTACTTGGCACCATACTTACACTGAAGAAAATTTTACTTTTGTAATAGTTATCATAAATCTTTTCTTTTGTCATTGCTGTCATGATGTAGATTAAGAAAAAAGTTTTAATCAGAATACATTTCTACTGTCAA